CCGGCCATAATTTAGACTTTTAAAAATATACTTCAGGCCAGGCTCGATGGCTTACGCCTATAATCCTAGGCATTGGGAACATTTCAGACCTTCTCTTCTAGCTGTTTTGAAATATACAATATATGTTGTTAACTATAGTCACTCTACTGTGCTATCAAACACTAGAACTTATTCCTTCTATCTAACTGTATGTTTGTACCCATTAACCAACCTTTTTTCATCTGCTTACCCCCATACACCCTTCCCAGCTTCTGGTAACTACTATTCTATACTCTACCTTCATGAGATTAAGGTTTTTTAACTCTCACCTATGAGTGAGAACACGTAATGTTCCTCTTTCTGTGCCTGGCTTATTTCACTTAACATAATGACCTCCAGTTCCATCCATGTCTTTTTAATGGCTGAATAGTATTCCACTATGTGTATGTACACACACCACTTTTTTTTTGGCCTGGCTTCTAACTAACTTGCATACACAACATTTTCTTTATCTATTCATCTTTTGATGGACACTTAGGTCAATTCCGTATCTTAGCTATTTTGTTTTGCTGTTTTTTTGTTGGTGGTGGGTTTTTTTGTTTGTTTTTTTTCTTTTTTTTGAGACAGACTCTGTCGCCTGGGCTAGAGCGCAGTGGCATCATCATATCTCACTACAACCTCAAACTCCTGGGCTTAAATGATCCTTCTGCCTCAGCTTCCCTAGTACCTGGGACTATAGGCACGCACCACCACACCCAGCTAATTTTTCTGGTTTTTGTAGTGATGGGCTCAGGCTGGTCTCAAACTACTGGCCTCAAGTGATCCTCCTGCGTTGGCCTCCCAAAGTGCTAGGATTATACAGGCGTGAGCCACTATGCCCTGCCTATACACCTGTTTTAAACAGAAGTAAAATCATATCATATATGCAATATCTGGTAATTTTTAATGTAATATTTTTAGACATGTAAGAATATTTTTCCTCACTGTCTTCCACGTCCAAAAAAAAAAGTATTTTTTCCATGGAAAATATTATACTTTTGTGTAATTTAAAATGTTATATGTAATATTATGTTACATGTAAAACACATTTTTCTTTTTTTAAAAAAATCTATTATAACCATTCAACATGGTAATGAAATACATTTTCCATGTAAAAATTTGGGCTTGTATTACTATTTTTAATGGTTCTATACTATTCCATAATGTAAATATGCCATAATTTATTTAACTAATACCAATTGTTTCTAATTTTTCCATTATAAATAACAAAGCTATGAACTTCCTTCTATATTTATCTTTGTTCATTTGTCTGGTTATTTCCTTAGGCTATAGCTTAGAAATGGAGTACTGCAAAATGTGTGTACATTTGCTGAGGCTTTTACAAAGGCAGTTTCAAACTGTCTACCAGAAAAGTTGTCTCAATATATTGTCTCATATGTAATGTGTGGTTGTTGCCTGTCAACACATTGCTTAGAGTTATTATTTTTTATTACAGAGACAGTGAAATATAGTAGTTAAAAGTATGGGTTCTGGCCAGGCATAGTGGCTCACCCCTATAATCCTAGAACTCTGGGAGGCTGAGGCAGGAGGATTGCTTGAGCTCAGGGGTTCAAGACCAGCCTGAGCAAGAGCAAGACCCTGTCTCTACTAAAAATAGAATAATTAGCCTGGCATGATGGTGTGGGCCTTATAGTCCCAGCTACTCGGGAGGCTGAGGTAGGAGGATTGCTTGAGCCCAGGAGTTTGAGATTGCAGTGAGCTATGACGATGCAACTGCATTCTAGCCTGGGCAACAAAGTGAGACCCTATCTCAAAAAAAAAAAAGAAAAGAAAAGGATGGATTCTATATCCAAACTGCCTGGGATCACATACAACGTTCATTCTTTACTAGTTGTATGACCTTGAGCAAGTCACTTAAACTTTCTGTGCCTCAGTTTTATCATCTGTAAAATGGAGGATAATAATAGTACCTGCCTTAGGGTCGTTGTGAGGATTAAATACATTAATATGTGTAAAATTATACATAGCAAACCTCATATGAAAATGAGCTATAATTATGTTAGTGAATGTTTTATCAGTTTTGAATGTGAAAATGACTTTGATTTTCATTTCTTATATTATGAATCATGTTGAATAATCTTTCATAAGCTTCCTGGATTCTTTTTTTGCCCCAGTTTCTTCCTTCCTTTTTTTCTTTTCTTCTTTTTTTTTATTAGAGACAGAGTCTGGCTCTGCTGCCCAGCCTGGAGTGCAGTGTCAGGATCATAGTTGACTGCATCCTCAAACTCCTAGGCTTGGGCGATCCTCCTGCCTCAGCCTCCTGAGTAGCTGGGACCACAGGCACGTGCCACCTTACTCAACTAATTTTTTAATTTTTTTGTAGAGATAGGGTCTCTGTGTTGCCTAGGCTGGTCTCGAACTCCTGGCCTCAAGTGATCCTTTCACCTGAGCCTCCCAATGTTCTGGGATTACAGGCATGAGCCACCATGCCCAATCAGTTTGTGACTCTCCATGTTATTTAAGGAGAGCTCTCAGAGTCTAGATGGGGGCTTCAGGAAACTCATGGAATCTCTCTCCCTGGATTCTGTCATCCAGGTTCACAGCTGGAGCAAAGCTGTTGTTTCACCTGCGGCAGCTGCTGAAGGAGCTGAAGGGATTGAATAACCTGGTTAGCTACCAAGATGACCCTCTGACCAAGGTGGACCTGCTGAAGGCCCAGGTCACAGAGTTGCTACAGCGTCTGCTCCACAGGTCTAGAGGCCAGGGAGGGACCCCTGGGAAGGTAAGAAACAGGGGGAGCCATTCTTTCATACTGAGCTGTATATTCTCTTCACGCCTCTCTCCCCAGAGCCTTTGTGGTAGAAAATCAGCCCTACATGCCTCAAACTCCCCATCGACCCCTCATCATCAAGACTGGGAGCAAGTTCACCGTGCGAACAAGGTTGGCATTTCAGAACTTATTCCTGCTGCCAACCTTGCCGCTGTGCATTTTCTGGCTTTAGAGACCATCCCACTCTTGTTCTTTTCTTCTCCCTTCCCTCTCAATCCACCTACCTCTTCTAATAGCTTCCCTTATCTTTTTCAAACATCTGTCTGGCCTATCCAGGAGGTTGAGGCTGACAACTTTCCCCCAACTACCTCCCTTCCCCCAGGCTGCTGGTGAGACTCCAGGAAGGCAATGAGTCACTGACTGTGGAAGTCTCTATTGACAGGTAAATTGGGCCAGGTGAAGGGTAGGACCAAGGGGTGGCTGGTTGCTGGGGTGGAGGAGATACCCAATCTTCACAACAGAGCCCTAGGGCTGTCTTCTTCCTCCTTCCATTCCTCCCTTATAGAAATAATAACTCATCTTTTTTGTTGAACATTTACTATGTGACATGCAGCATGTCAAGTACTCATTTAATCATCATAGCAACCCCAAAAGTTAGGTATGACCAATATGTCATACAAACCAGGAAACTAGCACAGAAATTATGTCTGTTCTGCAAGGCCACATAGCTAGTCAGCTGCAGAGTCAGGTTTGAACCCAGGTCTATCTCTTATATTCTTTTACTTCCAAATGATTTCTCTTTTTGTATTTTTTTTTTTTTCAGGAATCCTCCTCAATTACAAGGGTAGGTGCCTGACAAGGACACGACAAACGTTTGTACACTGCATGACCTACACAACCACCTTCAGCAGTCCTGGTGGGAGCACAAACAGGGAGGAGGGAGATTTGGGTGGGATATGGACAAAGGGATCTGAAACGAAGTGGAACTTTTGCTGTTTTCCTGCTGAGTTTTTACAATAACATTGTTTCTTGTCTCCATATATCTTCTTCCTCCTGGAACAGCTTCCGGAAATTCAACATTCTGACCTCAAACCGGAAAACTTTGACCCCCGAGAAGGGGCAGAGTCAAGGCTTAATTTGGGACTTTGGCTACCTGGTAAGAAGGGCTACTAGCTTAGGCTTCTAGTCTAAAGGAACAAAGGGCTGGGGGATGTTGCCAGGCCTTGAGAGGACTTGAGGAAAAACAGGGATTCTGGGGACCCTAGGGTCCCCGCACTGGCATTTTTCTCTCCTTCCCCTCAATTTGCAGACTCTGGTGGAGCAACGTTCAGGTGGCTCAGGAAAGGGCAGCAATAAGGTAAGACCTGGACAGAGGATTGGGGAGCAGGAGGAACTTGCCAAAGGGCTCCCTGATCACCATGTCTTTGGCTGTCCTAGGGGCCACTAGGTGTGACAGAGGAACTGCACATCATCAGCTTCACGGTCAAATATACCTACCAGGGTCTGAAGGAGGAGCTGAAAGTGAGTGAAAGTGGAGGGCAGGGAGAGATGAAGCAGATTTGGAAGAAGGCGCAGGGAGGGGCTAAACAGAAGCCTCTTGGGTGGGAGATCACCTCTTTCCCCTACCAAATGTCTGCAGCTAGAAACGTCACATCCTTCCTCTGTGACTCCTATATTCTCCCCAGACGGACACCCTCCCTGTGGTAATTATTTCTAACATGAACCAACTCTCGATTGCCTGGGCCTCCATTCTTTGGTTCAATCTGCTCAGCCCAAACCCACAGGTAGGAGGCGAAGGGTAGACAGGAGGGGTGTGGAAGCTTGGTGTGAGGGGCTGCTTCTGAGCCATGCTACCCTCCTTCCACCCATGCAGAACCAGCAGTTCTTCTCCAGCCCTCCCAAGGCCCCCTGGAGCTTGCTGGGCCCTGCTCTCAGTTGGCAGTTCTCCTCCTACATTGGCCGAGGCCTGGACCTGGAGCAGCTGAGCATGCTGAGAAACAAGCTATTCGGTACAGACCTCCATCTTGTTTCTCAGCCTTTCCCCAGCCTTAGTCTTCCCTGGCCTTCTGTCCTATATATCCCAGAATCTCTGGCCTCCTTTGCCATCTGAACCGTCTGTGACTATCTGTCCCACAGGGCAGAACTCTAGGACTGAGGATACATTGTTGTCCTGGGCTGACTTCACTAAGGTAACAGCCTGCATCCTGTGTAGCTAGATCTTGCCCCTCAATCCAAATAGTGGCCCCTTCCCACATCACTCCTTCCCCACACTGGGGGCAATTCCTCATCTCTTCCTGCCTTTCCATTCGTCCTCAGCGAGAGAGTCCCCCTGGCAAGCTCCCATTCTGGACATGGCTGGACAAAATTCTGGAGCTGGTACATGACCACCTGAAGGATCTCTGGAATGACGGGTAAGGCCTTGGTCAGCCTTCTGGCGCGGGCCCGTGCTTTCTGGATCTGAGAGTGGATTCCATGCGCCCTCATGTGGCAAACAGAGAGAGCAAAAACTGGTGCGAGGTTACACCCCTCATATTTGTAGTAATAGTTGTGGTGGTAGCCAGTATTTGTGAAGCATCTTCTATGTTCCAGAGCCTGCTGGGTGTGCTTCATGAATTATCTCATTTAATCCTTACAACTACACTGAGCGGTGGGTTTTGCTACCTTCATTTTTTTTTTTTAATATGAAGGGGGGTAGTCAAGAGCAAGGTTCAATTTCCTTCTTTTCTTTTCTTTTTTTTTTTTTGTGACAGGGTCTTACTCTGTCACCGTGGGTAGAGCGCGGTGGTGTCATCGTAGCTCACTGCAACCTCAAACTCCTGGGCTCAAGCGATCTTCTTGCCTCAGCCTCCCAAGTAGATGGGACTACAGGCTCAAGCCATGACACTAGGCTAATTTTTCTATTTTTAGTAGAGACAAAGTCTTGCTCTAGCTCAGTCTGGTCTTGAACTCCTGAGCTCAAGCAATCCTCCTGCCTCGGCCTCCCAGAATGCTGGGATTACAAGTGTGAGCCACCTTGCCCGGCCTGCTACCTTCATTTCAAGTGAGGAAACTAAATCTCAGCAAAGTTAAAAAGAACTTACCCAAGGGACAGAGTTGGGATTCGAACCCAGATTTATGTGACTCCCAAGCTCATGCTCTTTCTATGATACTGCCTACTGATTTGTACAGCACTTGGCTTTTGGGGGCCTGCCCCACCTTTTTTTTTTTTTTTTTTTTTAAGAGACAGGGTTCTCACTCTGTCACCCAGGCAGGAGTGCAGTAACTAGCACCTGGCCTTTAAAAGTGCTTTTCTGCCAGGCATGTTGGCTCATGACTATAATCCCAGCACTTTGGGAGGCTGAGGTGAAAGGATCTTTTTATAGCCCAGGAGTTCGAGACTAGTCTAGACAACATAGTGAGACCCCAACTCTACAAAAATTTTTAAAAATTAGCTGAGTGTAGTGGTGTGCACCTGTAGTCCCACGTATCTGGAAGTCTGAAGCAGGAGGATCACTTGAGCCCAGGAGTTTGAGGTTGCAGTGAGCTATGATGATGCCACTGTACTGTAGCCCAGGCAACAGAGTGAGACCCTGTCTCCAAAAAGAAAAGTATACTTCATCTGTGTGATCTCACTGAATCCTTGCATCTCTTCAAACCCTGGGGGGGTGGATATTGTCAGTGATGTGAAGTTCATTGGACAAGATGGAAAAGTTTGTAAGTGGCAGAGCTAGCACCAAAATCTAGTGCTCTTTTCCCATACAAAAGGAGGAAGGGGCAGGGGTACTGGGGGAGGGGTGTTTGTCATGGCTGTCTTCTGTGTTCCAGACGCATCATGGGCTTCGTGAGCCGGAGCCAGGAGCGCCGGCTGCTGAAGAAGACCATCTCTGGCACCTTTCTACTGCGCTTCAGTGAATCATCAGAAGGAGGCATTACCTGCTCCTGGGTGGAGCACCAGGACGATGGTCAGCTGCCCTGCCCAGCCATTCCCACAGCCTCTCCTTTCTGCCTGGCTCTCCTTTTGCCCCTCTTCCTGCCCTTGGCTTCCCTGGCTCTGTCCTGAATCCCTCAGCAGGTTTGGGGTTGGGCAGCAAGAATGGGGAACTCCCTGGCCTAGCCTCTTCCCTCAAGCCTGCCTGTCCCTGCATCCACTCTCCAGATAAGGTGCTCATCTGCTCTGTGCAACCTTACACCAAGGAGGTGCTGCAGTCACTCCCGCTAACTGAAATCATCCGCCACTACCAGCTGCTCACTGAAGAGAATATCCCCGAGAACCCACTGCGCTTCCTCTACCCCCGAATCCCCCGGGATGAGGCTTTTGGGAGCTACTACCAGGAGAAAGGTGGGAATCGTTGACATACTTCATTGCGAGATTGCAGGGATCCTGAGACATCCATAAATCTAACTCTTTCCTTTCAAACATGGAAAAACTGATATGCAGAGAAGTTAAGGGATTTGTCCATGGGATACCGTTAGTTAGTATGGGGATAGGACTGTCAAGACCCTCTGCCCTAGGGGGCCCTCAGGCTTTGTGTCCAACCCACTGATCTCTTGCCTCCTGTGTATGTCCCCACAGTTAATCTCCAGGAACGGAGGAAATACCTGAAACATAGGCTCATTGTGGTCTCTAATAGGTGAGCTATAAACCCATCCCCCCAATCCTTTTAGTCTGATATATAGTGACTCTAATCTGTCCAATTCCAATCTTTCCAGCTTTCTCTTCCTACTGACCCACACTCTCTAGCCCTCCAGTTTTTTCCTGTTCTTCTAGTCTCTCTCCTCTCTCATATTTTCCTGTTGCCATCCTTAGGTTGACTCCACAGGGATTCCTTAATAATAATGGTCATAATCACTGGTGTTAGTGGGCACCTACTTGATGCCAGGAATAGGACTAGATTTTTTTTTTTTTTGAGACAGAGTCTGGCTCGTTGCCCTGGCTAGGGTACCATGGTGTCAGCCTAGCTCACAGGAACCTCAAACTCCTAGGCTCAAAGCGATCCTCCTGCCTCAGCCTCCCGAGTAGCTGGGACTACAGGCATGTGCCACCATGCCCGGCTAATTTTTTCTATACATATTTTTAGTTGTCCAGATAATTTCTTTGTACTTTTAGTAGAGATAGGGTCTCGCTCTTGCTCAGGCTGGTCTCAAACTCCTGACCTTGAGGAGGTCCACCCGCCTTGGCCTCCCAGAGTGCTAGGATTACAGGCGTGAGCCACCTTGCCTGGCTGGGACTAGATTTTTAAAAAATATTTTCCATTTAATTCTTATGAGAACCCATCAGAGGCATGTGCAGTGTGGCTCACGCCTGTAATCCTTGCACTCTGGAAAGCCAAGGCAGGAGGATTGCTTGAGCTTAGGAGTTTGAGACCAGCCTGGGCCTCTACTAAAAATAGAAAGATTAGCCAGGCATGGTGGCACACGCTTGTAGTCCCAGCTAGTCAAGAAGCTGAGGCAGGACGATCGCTTGAGCCCAGGAGTTGGAGGTTGCAGTGAGCTATGATGATGCCAACTGCACTCTAGCCCTGGCAACAGAGTGAGACTCTGTCTCAAAAAAAAAAAAAAAAAACAAAACCCAGCTGAGTAGATAATAATGATAGCCACATTTATTAAAAAATTATTATGTGCCAGGTACTAGGCTAAATTGTGTTCATTTTCTCATTTTATACAATCTTCACAATAATTCTGTCAGGTAGACACTATTATTATTTTCAGCTGAGGAAACTGAAGTTTGGAATAGTAAAGTGGCATAGCTAAGGTACATGGCTAATAAATTATACAGGTCTGTCTCATTCCAAAGCCCTGCTTTTAACCATCCTACTGCCTCTCAAGAATCATTAGGGGGACTGAGCATAGTGGTTCACACCTGTAATCCTAGCACTTTGGGAGACTGAGGTGGGAGGATTGCTTGAGGCCAGGAGTTCACGACCAGCCTGAGGAAGAGCTAGATTCTGTCTCTACAAAAAAATTAAAAAATTAGCCAGGTGTGGTGGTACATGCCTGTAGTCCCAGGTACTTGGGAGGCTGAGGCAGGAAGATGGGTTGAGTCCAGGAGTTTGAAGTTGCAATGAGCTAGGAGGATGCCACTGTGCTCTATCCTGGGTGACAGAGTGAGACCCTGTCTCCAAAAAAAAAAAAGAATTGTTAGGGGCTGGACACAGTGGCTCATGCCTGTAATCTCAGTGATTTGGGAGGCCAAGGCTAGAGGATCACTTGAGTGAAGGAGTTTGAGACAAGCCTGGGCAACATAGCAAGACCCCTCTCTCTATAAAAAATTTAAAAATTAGCTGGGCATGTTGGTGTGCACCTCTAGTCCTAGCTACTCAGGAGGCTAAGGCAGGAGGATCACTTGTGCCCAGGAGTTTGAGGCTGCAGTGAGCTATGATCATGCCACTGTACTCTAGCCTGGGCAACAGAGTGAGACACTGCCTCTAAAAAAGAAAAGAATTATTAGGTATTGTTGTTCCCATTTATAAAGGATAAATCCGAGGCTGAGAGAAGTTAGGGAACTTGCCTAAAGTCACTCAGCTAATAAACGAAAGGGTTCAGACTATCTAGCAAGCCTGATTCCAAAGCCCATGCTCTTTAGCCTTCTGCTCTACTGCCTTGTTAGGTTAGAGAGACAGCTTCTCCTTGCTCTGTCATTCTCTACTTCACCTAAATCATTGAGCCCTGACCCTTTGTCTGTCTTGGGGTATCCAGACAGGTGGATGAGCTGCAACAACCCATAGAGCTTCAGCTGGAGCCAGAGCTGGAATCATTAGACCAGGAGCCAGGGCTGGTACCAGAGCCAGAGCTAGGGCTAGGCCTGGAGTTAGAGCCACTACTGAAGGCAGGGCTACATCTGGAACCAGCACTAGAACCTGTGCTGGAGTCCACTCTGGAGCCCGTGCTGGAGCCTGTGCTGGAGCACACTCTGGAGCCCCTGCTGGAGCACACTCTGGAGCCCCTGCTGGAGCACACTCTGGAGCCCCTGCTGGAGCCTGTGCTGGAGCACACTCTGGAGCCCCTGCTGGAGCACACTCTGGAACCTGTGCTGGATCCCACTTTGGAGCTTGTGCCGGAGCCCACACTATGCTTGGCATCACAAAGAGTACCAGAGCCAAACCTAATACCTATATCACAGCCAGTGCCAGAGCCGGATTTGCCTCGTGATCTGAGACACTTGAATACTGAGGAAATGGAAAGTAAGTGTTGAGACGGGGCTAGGAAAGGGGGCATACATTCTCTTTCCCACCTCCCTTCCCTCACCCATTACAGAAAAAGCTAAGCTTCAAGCTCCTCATTGGAGAGAGGCTCATTTCCTTGTGATTCCTTTCATTAGGAAATTCAGATGTCTTCCCCCACCTCCCTGTTCCTCCATCCCTCAAGGTCTCCCTAATGCCCTGTCCAGGCCTTTCCTGCCATCCTCCCTCACTTTCCCTGCCGGGCTGGGAGCTCCCAACTAAGATCAGGGCCTGACTTTTTTCTCTGGATATCCTAGTCTTTAGAAACTGTATAAAGATTGAAGAAATCATGCCAAATGGTGATCCGCTGTTGGCTGGCCTGAACACCGTGGATAGAAACTGTATAAAGATTGAAGAAATCATGCCAAATGGTGACCCGTTGTTGGCTGGCCTGAACACCGTGGATAGAAACTGTATAAAGATTGAAGAAATCATGCCAAATGGTGATCCACTGTTGGCTGGCCTGAACACCATGGATAGAAACTGTATAAAGATTGAAGAAATCATGCCAAATGGTGATCCACTGTTGGCTGGCCAGAACACCGTGGACGAGGCTTATAGCTCCCGCCCCAGCCATTTCTACACTGATGGACCCTTGATTCCTTCTGACTACTAGGAACTATGTTTCCCCTGTTCTTTCCGTATCTCTTACCCCTCCTACCCTGTGATGTTGCTCACACATCATGATGTTGCTCTCCACGGTTGGGAAATCAGGCACAGGCAAGTGCCCTTTCTAAGCTGGGTTAACCCAGGGATTTGGGGTGAGAAGTAAAAGCATAACATGGTAACATGGGTGAGGAGGGGGCAGCAATGAATCGGAATGGATGCTGGCAATAGTTCTAAATAGGCTCCTGGAGGCTGCCCGATGTGCTGGGAGGTGCAGGTGTCCTGGGGGCAGCCAGGACAATTGGGAGGTACATGGAGGGCTCAGGGCAGCGGCTTTTTTTCCTGTATGGAAGGATTTCAACATTTTAATAGCTGGTAAGCCTAAATTGGTACACACTAGCATTAGCCCTTGGTGGGGAGCACAGAAATATAATAGGACTCCATTTCTTTCTTCTGATTCCTTTATGTCTGGAATAACTTTTCCTTTCTTCTTCCCTTCATTTCTGACTCAAGTTTTAAATTTCTTTACCTGCACAGGCTGAGAGCTTTCTGCCTCAGCCCACCATATCACGCTCCACCCTGTAGAAAGGGAGAACAGGCTGATCCTCTTCTTACCAGTCTTCTCCTTTGCTCTGCCCCTAAGCTGGCCACAACCATTCCTCCCCTATAAAATGATCCTGCCAATCTAATGTGCCTGTGAAGCTTTGCACCCTATATTATGCTACCTAGTCCCCACCTTCCCAGTACTTAGGAGACAGATCACTCCTGGAGGCCGGGGATGGTAGGGTTGCTGGGAATTCAAGAATTCCTTTTTAAAGTATTGGATAGAATTTGGTGTTTTTACAGAGGAAGAGAAACACTGGGTCTTAGCTATGTCTCTATTATGATATTATTCCCTTTCTTTTCTACAATATATTGTTTACCTAAAAGGAATGTCTCTATTCCTTGGGTGTCGGCCTGGGCAAAGACCAAGTTCCAGGAACTTAAAACCTTGAAGGTTTGTCACAGGACTCTGGATAACCTCACACCTTGGCCATTCCTAAGGAATCCCAGGGGGCAACTGCCATTGCTCTAAGATGTGCTTCTAGTGTAACTTGCCATATAAATGAAAGTAAGGTCCTGCACACGTGGCTGTTTCTCGCCTGGTATGTCAGAGAAATAGTCCTGTTCAAAAAGGGGCCCTTTTGAGCAGAAATGGCTAATAAACTTTTTGCTCACCTGAAAGTGTTTCATCTCTGAATTTCTTTACTTCTTTAGTACTTACAAAAATGAATGTCCTGGGCCAAGTGTGGTGGCTCATACCTGTAATCTCAGCACTCTGGGAGGCCGAGATGGGAGGATCTCTTGAGGTCAGGAGTTCGAAACCAGCCTGAGCAAGAGCAAGAGCTCATCTCTACTAAAAATAGGAAAAAAATTAGCTGGGCAACTAAAAATAGAAAAAGTTAGCTGGGCATGGTGGTACACGCCTGTTATCCCAGCTACTCAGGAGGCTGAGGCAGGAGGATTGCTTGAGCCCAGGAATTTGAAGTTGCTGTAAGCTAGGTTGATGATATGGCATTCTAGCCCAGGCAACAGAGCAAGACTCTGTCTCAAAAACAAACAAGAAACAAACAAACAAAAAAAAAACACCTAATGTCCTTAGGGACACCAACAAACTATATAGGACTGAGGTCAGCAAACTGTGGCCTCTCTTCCACCCACCCCCGTATGCCCATTTTGTCATGTTTCTTCTTCCCTCCCTATTTGGAGAAGCCCCTCCAGTCCCTTAGACTCTCACGGGGCAGGGGTGGTGGTGGTGGGAATAATTATATAACTATCCTATTGTCACTCAGCTGGTTGGTGGCAAAGCCAAGATATAAACCTGGGTCTGACTCCAAAGCCCATGTTTTTTTTTTTTGAGACAAAGTCTCACTCTCTTGCCTGGGGCGAGTGCCGTGGCCTCAGCCTAGCTCACAGCAACCTCAAACTCCTGGGCTCAAGCAATCCTACTGTCTCAGCCTCCCGAGTAGCTGGGACTACAGGCATGCGCCACCATGCCCGGCTAATTTTTTTCTGTATATATTTTAGCTGTCCAATTAATTTCTTTCTATTTTTGGTAGAGACGGGGTCTCGCTCTTGCTCAGGCTGGTCTCGAACTCCTGAGCTCAGAACGATCCACCCGCCTCGGCCTCCCAGAGTGCTAGGATTACAGGCGTGAGCCACCGCGCCCGGCCTAAGCCCATGTTTTTTTTATGCTGCAACTATGGAAAAAAGGAAAGGAAATTATCACTAGCCCCTTCCCCTCCTCTTTTTTCAAAGACAGTTTAGTTTCCCTTGGTTGAACAAACGCCTCCCAAAGGGCCCACAGATGTCCTTTAAAGGAGAGTCCCATTGGCTTGGGAGATTTACCTTTATCTTCTTGGAATGCCCTTCCTGCTCAAAACTGAGCTCTGACATTTGATCCTGCAGTGATCAGGGCTCCTGTCTTTGGCCAGATATACTCTTAGCCAAAAAAGTAGGGAAGGCACTGGATCAGGGAGCAAGTGATGCCTAGGTGTGACCCCACTTCCCAATCTCAACCGCTTGTGATCCCATTCTGCTTGCTCAGCCATACAGGGATTAATACCAAAAAGATCCCAGTTATTCCATACACCAAGGGGTCATGAGAAAATACCACTTTCTGCTGTAGCCCTTCAGAGTAGAAGAAAGAGATGCATATGGTAGTCTCTTGGCCCTACTTTTCCTTCTGTTTATCTTTCCCACCTGAGCCTGGAAATTAGACCCTCATAGCCTCATAAATAAGTCTTTATTGAAAAAAAGTACATTATTCAGTATAAATATAATAAATAATCCTCCTCCCCAAATTGCTCCCATGAGGATAAATAATCCCAAAATTTCCTTTCCCGTCTAATAAATACTCAACCTTGTCATAGGTCAGCATCGTAAGTCAGTCAGTACTGGTAATTTTTCAACATATGCAGTCCCATTAGGATTAATGGACTAACTTGTTGGCTCACAGGTGTCTGGGGTGGTCGGTTTTATCTTGGCATTGCTGAGCCATGGAGATGTGAGTGCCACCCTTCAGCTGTTGGCTTTAGGGACTCAGGGTTGCTGCTCCATGGGCAAAGACCCGGGCAGCTACCGCCACAAAGGCCTGGAGGCTGCGAAGGATCTTGAAGCGGAGAAGAAGGCGCTCCCATGGCTGGCTAGGAATGGGTCTTGCAGTCTGCTGAGGCTCCCAGTGGTCACCTTCAGGCTGAAAGGACAGGACAGGGCAGGACACAGTCAAAGAAGACTCTAGATCTTTAATCCCCCCACCTCTGTCCTAATACTTGCAAGCCCCCATCCTCTAGGTCCCTAGTTCGTACCTGTAAGAGTTGGCTGAGGCCCAGTAGAGAGGCATGAAGCTGGCCCACAGGGCCATCAGGGAGCAGAGAAGGCTCCCCTGTGAAAATATCTGATCCTAGCAGCTTCTCGTAAAATATCAGACCCTGGTGGATCCTTTGCAAGCAGAACTAGGAAGAGAAGAAAGCAATGAAAAAAGTGGATACCCTCTTCCTACTCCATTCCCTGAAGACCCACCCAGTTCCTTACTATTCTCAGACACAATGTCTAGTTCACCACAGTGCCCAGCCATGTTCCCAGTCCCCTCTCCTTTGTGGCCCAGCCTCATCCTTGTGGTACCTGACTGTTGTCTCTGAGTCCTTGGGGATCACAACCATCCCCACACTGGATATGGGGAACATCATTTGTAGTCTCTTCATCTCCCTCTTCTCTTAGTAGATCCTGGAATGGAGGAGGGGGTAGGAAGAATGAAGAAGTAAGATAAGTACTTTTGAACCCCACCTGGACCCTCAGGCCCATGGCTTTCCCAGGAACCCCACTCTCCTGTCCTCTCTCACTCCTTGATGGCCTTCAACCCTCCAGCTTCCACCCAAGGTCACAGAGTCTTCTACTGCAGCCTTGGAGAGGCTCCAGTTTGGTCCCAGGTGCTGCCACTCACCATGTGTCCCACTTGGGGGTGTGCACTCCAAGCCAGCGTGCAGAGCTTCTGTGAGAGCTGCTGGCATTGAGCCCAGGCAGGGCTGCTGCCCCCAGGCATAGCTCGACCCTGAGTAGTCCAAGGCAGCAGCAATAGCAGCATCACAGCTCTGTTTCCCAGCATCTCGTTGCCTGCTTCTTAACCTGGATGGTTCTGCGCCTTGCACCAGTCCCTGTAGAATCTCTGCCCACTTCCACTTGCTCTGAGCCTGCTTCTCTCTGTTCTGTGCGTCTCTGGTTTTGTTCCCTCTATTGTTCACCGAGTCCCTGAGCTGCTTCCTGTTGTTTTCCTCCCTTTGTCTCTGAGTCTCTTTTTAAGGTCCCTGCATTGTAAGGCCCGCCCTTTATACTAGCAGGTGACTCACAGCAGGTGGGATTCCCCTCCCTGCATCATCCCCCTCCGTGGGGAGCCCAGGTATGCAGCCTTAGTTCCACGGGAAATGAGTCGTGTGGTTGCTGTGGCTAGAGGCCTGGGATGGGACACATGTGTAATGCTCTCCAGGAATCGAAATGGCTGTAGACGAGGGGGTTGAGGGGAGTAACGAACATTTAAATTAATCTGGTCTCAAGTTCCTTCCTGTTTAATCTTTCTCTGAACTTTTTGCCTCTCAAAGCTATACCACTACCCAACCCAAACCTAATTTCCTCACCTCCTCCTGCCTGAGGAAAAACCAAAACAGAGAAGCATTCATTCATCTCCCAATAGGGTGCTGAGCTCAATTTGTAATGAAGTGTTATTCCTACTTGATATCCCCATCTAAGAATAAGGGGCTTCTTCTTTTTCTTCATTGGAAACAGCAGTATTTTTACTAGATGGTCCTGGTTTCATAGGAGAGAATGGGTATGAAAGCACTTTGTGAAATGGGAAGCCAGATAAATGTAGCGTGAGGCCTTACTGCTTCCTACTTCAGGCGGAGGTTAGGAGGGCTCTTGTGGTAAAAGGCTTGTTGGCTAAAAACCATCTGATTCTTCAACCCTATCAGCCTAAGTTTTCATGGGCTTTGTGGGATTCAGGTGATGTTTTTTCAGGATGCCAGTGCAAGCAAGGGCTGGAAATTCAACTTATACTATCCAGTACTCAGTCCCTATCCCATAGCTAGGAAGCCCAGGAGTTCTGGGTAGTCAAATGTACATAGTGTCAATGACTCTAGCTAGTCCTTCAGCCTGTTGCATCCATGGGTAAAATCCACTGTCACTGATTTCATCACCCTCCCTGATGCAACATCCAGTGAAACAGCTGAGGGTGTGAGGTTGGGCGTGGGAGTAGAGGGTGGTCCAAAGTTGGGACTGCCCCGACCCCAGTGGAGGGTCCCAGAATAATTTGGACGTCAGAATGAGACCATAGGTGACCACACAGCTGGCCCCTCAAGCCTCCCCAAGAGGTTGACCCTTTTCTTCTGAGAAACTTACCCTCAATGGAGGTCTCCCTTCCCTTACAGCTATTCAAAACTGCCCAGTGAAATTTTAGGTTCAAATAGTATGATTCTGTGGTAAATCCACCCTTTGGATGAAACACTGCCAGCATCAGAGAATTATCTCAGTTTTGGTGAGAAATGATTTGCCTTTCCTACATTGGGTGGACACAAATGGAATAAGGAAATTGGAGGTAGGGGCATAAGGGAGTTCACCTCACTTGTATACAACGTCTCCTATGCTCTTCCCACCTCTGGTCCCCATTCTGGGAGCCCTAAAAGATAGGAGATGAAAGGTGAAAAGGAAGAGGAGGAAGTGGAGCTCTGCAGGACAGGATGAGAAGGACAGGGTGAGTTGGACGCACGGGGCTCTGCCTCTGTTTCACTTCCTGGTGCTTCAGGAGTTGGGTAGGAAGCAGGGTTGGTGGGGAGATTGTGGGACTGTCGTGTGGCAGGAACTACTTCCAGGGCTACATCTGATCTGGAGCTGCAAGAAGCCCTTGACGTCAGCTGGGGCTCAACCGTTATGCAAATCATATTCACAAGACACTCCTAGGCAGGCCTTTCCAGTTGGATGCCCATACTTCAAATCCACTTGAAGTTCCCCCAGGTGGTTAATAATGATCCTAATATATATCCAACTCTCACTTTATGCCAAGTACTTTGTCTAAGCACTTTACATGTGTTAAACCATTTAATTCTCACAACAACCCTATAAGATAGGTACTATTATTATCCCCATATTACAGATGAGGAGACTGAGATGAAGAGGTAAGTTATTTATCCGAGATCACAGAGCTACTAAGTGGCTGGAATCCCAGTGCAAACAATCTGGCTTCAGATCCTGCATTCTTATCTTTTTTCTTTTTGAGACAGGGTCTCACTCTGTCGCCTGGGCTAGAATGCAGTGGCATCATCATAGCTCACTGCAACCTTAAACTCCTGGGCTCAAGTGATATTCCTGCCTCAGCCTCCTAAGGAGCTGGAATTGCTCAGGCTGGTCTTGAACTCCTGGCCTCAAGGAATCCTCCTACCTAGGCCTCTCAAAGTGCTCGGATTACAGGTGTCAACCACCACGCCCGGTCTCAGATCCTGCATTCTTTTTTTTTTTTTTGAGACAGAGTCTCGCTTTGT